ACCGTAGTCGATGTCGACCCCAATCCACTTTGACTTCGGGAACACCGTCCGATTGGGACGCATCGTCTCACATAACGTATCCGGTTCTCTCATTGCCTCCCGAAATTCTGACGGAAGTCTTCATAAACTTCCTGCCCAGCTATCCTGATTACCCTCCACTTCACGGTATCTTCTCCCCGCTTCTCTTATGTCAGATCTGCCGACAATGGCGAGCGGTTGCATTATCAACGCCTCTATTGTGGAGAGCGATTCAAATGAAACTCACGCGTGGAACCTCCGACAAACAACTCGCTGCGCAGCTTGATCTCCTCAAGACGTGGCTGCAGCGTTCCGGCGACTGTCCTTTCTCCCTCAGCCTGACACACGCACGAAATATTACGCACAGGCTCGTCCCCCAGTTTCTTCGTGCTGTCATGGCCCACTGCCAGCGCTGGGAACACCTCGATGTGCTCATGCCGTTTGAGCACATGCATCTACTCCACGGTGACATGCCGCTGCTGCGCACCCTAACATTCGGCCCCAGCAATTTCCCGCACGGCCGGCGTTCGCAATTCACTCAGACTCCATTTCACGCCGCCCCACAACTGAAGCGCGTCATCCTCACACGCAATTTTTTCACGTCAGTCACGGCTCTCCCCTGGGCGCAGTTGACGCATCTCGAGGCGGACTGCCTCTACGAGTGCGAATGCCTCGAAATTCTCCGTGATGCGCCGCTTCTCGTTGCCGGTACATTCAGGCTCTGCCACCCACCCGGCGCGGAACCTATCCTCCCTCCTAATCCTTGGCCCAGTGTGCTTCCGGCGCACACCTGCCTCCGTGATCTTGTTCTCGACACCGACAGCGAATTCCTGGGCGTGGGTACCACGATACTGCCGCGGCTATCGGCAGTACTCGACCGCCTGACGCTGCCCGCGCTCTGCACTCTCCTGGTAGCCGAGCCGTGTATTACCCTCGAATCGCTCGCGGCTTTTATTGCGCGGTCGAGGTGCTACATGGAGAATCTCTGCATCGCGGGCGCTTCACTGCCAGAGTCGGCGTATCGGGCGGCGCTGCCGCCTTTTGATAAATTTAGACTGGAACCGTGAGCACGACACCTGGTGCACGAAACCTAGTTGGCCCGTTGTCTTCCATAATGTAATCACCGAGCCGCATCTCATGTCATTGAGAAGACATTGTACTGGGGGGTCAGGCTTTTACAGAGGATGTGGTGGGGATGTTGTAGTGGGCTCGAACGACGAAGGCTTTCGGTGAGTTTGGGTATTTCCAGTCAATTTCTTCAGGTTTTATAGTCAAAACGTATGTTGCGCGTACGCAGTTCGAACGTCGGTCAACATGGACTTATGCTGCGAGACTGCTGCGAGCGGCTGCTTCAAGAGCTGCACCCCTTGCTGCGTCGGACCAGTGATAGCCACTGCAGCACTCATCTCCTCTTCTCAAACCACGGCAAGCTTGAATCTGGTTTACCATGGGCAGTCGATAGCGGCCAAGTCAACGCTTCGATAGCGGTTCCCGGGTCTCCGTCTACATTCTGGAGGTCCTTGAGGGTTACCTCGTCGAGGTCGTCAGAATCCAGACTCGTCACGACTGACGATGGGACCGTCATTCTGGCACTGACCGCAACAATATTGTGCTTGTGCAGAAACACTCCACGCTTCCGGAGCACTGAAGACGGTGGTCTTTTTCGCGTTCTGTGCGTCAAAAACTCCGCTCCGCTGAGACACCGCCAGAAGATAAGGTCACATCCCCCGTGGCAGACGTCGAGCCCACTCCACCTTGACTCGCCCGACTCGGATGCACCATTGGCTCACATAACGTATCCGGTTCCCATCGCCTCCCGAAAACCTTCATCAGCTCCCGGCCCAGCCATCCTGATTAGCCTCCACTTCACGGTATCTTCTCCCCGCTTCTCTTTTGTCAGATCTGTCGACAATGGCGGAAGGTTACGCTGTGAATGCCTCAGCTGTAGAGAGCGATTCAAAGTGGAACTCACGCGAGGGGCCTCCGACAAGCAACTCGCTGCGCAGCTTGAACTTCTCAAGACACGGTCGAAGCGTTCCAAGGACTGTCGTCTCTCTCAGCCTGACACACGCGCGGAATATCACACACAGGCTTGTCCCCCAGTCTCCGCGCTGTCGTAGCCCATTGCCAGCGCTGGGAACATCTCGATGTGCTCATGCCCTTCGAGCACATGCATCTCATCCACGGAGATATGCCCCTCCTGCGCACCCTAACATTCGGCCCCAGCGATTTCCCGCACGGCCGCCCTCAATTCACTCATAATCTATTTTACGCTGCCCCCCAATCCAAGGGCCGAAAAGAATGTTCTTTAGGGCACGACAGTGATGCTAGATTCAACGGACAGACAGAGGAAGGCGCTAGGCCACATACACTACAGTACACTTTCGAATTTGAATAAATACTGAGGAAGAAAATCCCTAGTCTCTGACAGACGCTATATATCGTCTTGCTCGTACCTCCTTGATATATATTCTGAACATTGAGTCACCCAAGCTATATCGCCATCGGCTTCATCTCTGTGAGGTCGCTCCGGCTCACGAGGGGGTCGTCCCCATGGTGCGTGGTCATTCGCAAGGCGGCACCCGCTGAATTGGAATTTGAATACGAGAACGACTGTGCATGTCCAGTCAACGGGTGCTGTGTCTCGATCGTCTTGTCCATTCCGATACGCGCTTGAATGAGCGCGTTGGAGATGCCGGCGACCGCGGGTAGCAGGATAACGGCCACGAACTGCAGATTGGAGTTGATCTGGTGGGCTATGATGTAGAAGATCGTCCATATGCTGAGTAGAGGGGGTAAATAAGAGCCACGTTAAGACAGCAGGACGAAACGAACGTGTATATTAGGGCGCTCTCGACGATGATAGAAAGGAAATCCTACGGATGGAGAAATATCAGTGAGCGTTCACAAATAATGCTCAAAGCCATTCACCCGAAGATTAGATCCACCGACTGGGGACGAGGTCTTGGTAATCTGCCGGATTTTCCAAGAAATGAATCCTGTAGCAGTTAGAAACCATGTTGACACTAAAACCCGGGAATTCACTTGCCAGTGGAGTAGATGTTTGTACTGGTAAACGATCATAAGTCCGCGCATCTTGAAAGCAGAACAGAGCACATACGTGAGCGTGAAGATCAGTCCAGGTGTGAGGCCTTTATCCTCGGCAATGTCATCGATGTGTGTGGTCGTTTGCAAAGTCAGTATAAAAGCGACTCGGAATGGTGGTTGAAAAATCTGATTCATCGGATTTCTGAAGTACTCACTTGCAAGGCCCAACAGGGTCAGTATCGGCAATATGATCACAATCTTGTTACGAGACCAAACGATCCAGAGACGATATATCTTTCTCCTCTTCAGACTTCCCAAGCCACAGCAGTGCTAGAGAACCCACAATTATACCATCGCTAACCAGAATGGCTACAACGATGAAACTATTTTGGATCGTGGTTGTGATCTGACTGTTGTCATCGAAAAATGCCGGAGCCGCTGTTCCATTGAGAAAAACAACGAAGCCTATGAATGGCCGGACCACAGTAAGGATCCAATTCTACTGAACCGTATCAGTGGAACCGAACATGCCAGACAATGTCCTACGCACCCCCGTAACAGCTATAAAGAGGACCAGTCCAGAAACAAAAATGGCGGAACGATACAGTGGAGCAGAGGGCGCGCCAGTCGAACGTTTGACAAGAAGGAAGGTTGATAAAATGTACAGCATGAGGTAGATTCCATAAAGAGGACCGCCAACGGCGAGGCCAGCTAAGTTTGTCCAGGGTGGAGACATAGTAAGGAGCCCCGAAGACGAGTGCGGTTGGGCGAGGACCGAGAGATGCATTCGATTATTTATGGAGGTCAGTACGGGTTGATCTTGTGACGATGAAGTGGGAGTGATCGTTGACACTGCGGAAGAACGTTGCAATCAGACGATTACAGGTTGTGACAATCCTGGGATTCATTGAATTCTCGACATGGAATGTGTCTCGCATTGTGCAGAGATTCCGCCTCAATGGAGGCCTAGAATCCTCGGCGCCGGATTAGAATACAGATATTGCTGCCAAAAGAATACTGTGCGAACAAAAAGCCTCAGCGGAGCTCCACCGGAAACTTGAACACATCAATGACTTGGGAAGCTCGGTTTCATTATCGTCATTCTCCGCTCTTCTTGGGGCCACCGAGAATGATCGAGTTGTGATAATCAGTGGCGGGATCCACCTGAGTAACTCCCGCATCGTTGACCCGGCCCAAAACCTAGGTCTAAAAGCGGGGATTCATCGCAAGCTGGATACCACATTGAACTTGAGGGGGTCCCAATTTCTGCTCAAAGCGGGTGACCAGGAGTAGCAACCTCGAGAATACCGCATCATTTTCAGTAGAATGAAACAACCAAGGAAGAATGTCATTCATCTTTCGCCGACAGATGAATGTGGCGTTCCAGCTCTGAGTCTCAGTTCAGAGGATGTTGGGCTCTTATGAGGGACAGCCTCAGTGAGCATGAGGATTACACGCGCTCGAAGACAACGCACTTGCTATACCTCGATTGCTGCCGAGAAGACCGGAAGAACAAATCATAGCTCGTTTGGAAGGGAGACCAACCGACCACAAGATCAACTTTAGTTATGCACAACTTGAGGGCCATGGGCATGAATGATGATTCTGGGTCTCCCGGGGTGCTACATTGAGGATCTTTGCATTGCGGACGCTTCACAGCCGGAGTCGGCGTACCGGGCGGCGCTGCCGTCTTTTGATAAATTTATGTTGGTGGCCCGTGTCTTCCACAATGTACCGTATCTTATGTCTAGTTTGAATAAATTTGGTGAAGTGCGAACGTGCCGAGAAGGAACACCCCAGGCTGCCGTTCCTCAATCTCAACGAATTACAGGATGAAGAGGAAGCCAAGCGGAGAGAGCCCAAAATTAGTTGTTGATGGCAAACCGCAAACGCCCGGTAGGTCATGTATAGTACAACAGCTGATTGTTTAACATGGCCGCCTGGCGAAATGGCATCGCGTCTGACTACGATCGACCACGTGATATCGATCAGGTCACGTGATCTCAATCAGGAGATTGCAGGTTCGACCCCTGCGGTGGTCATTTTTTCTAATCCATTTTCATGCTTATACTTCTTTCCTTTTTACCTGTTTGGTTCTGCCGCAAGCTACTACGCCGTGCCTGCCTTTTTTTTTTTCAAGTCCCACAGAGGAATGTTCAGATTACCACAGCCCATCTTATCTGACTCATAGCGTAACTTCAACTTGCTGAAGTCATCTCTCCCACCCCTAAAGCAGACAGGCGTCTTCACCTAATGTGGAGCAAGTGACCTAACAAGAATATCCCTTTCATAATGAACCAGCACTAACACCGACTAAACTATGTACATATGGGTATTGTAACGAGGCGTGTTGCCATTTTTGGTATGAAGGTCATAAGTGGGAAGAGTGTCATTTCGTTCAATCCTTACGAAAAACGTTCTCGGATATCCGCCAACCCCACACCGGGAACGTCTCAGGGTCCAAAATCCAGCTTTCAAGTACCCGAGACGCACGGTGGTCTGTAGGACGAAACTCTCGCGCCTTCCACGTCCACTCGCGGAACTGCTCCACGTCCCGCAAGGCCCCGTACCCCATCGCAATCGCGTCGAGATGTTTCCCGTAGTCGAGCATCTCCAGCCCTTCCGACTCTATCAGCGACACCGCACGCAGATGTACGTCGATCAAGGCGTAGTCGTCCATGGTTGGATCAAGGCACCAGTCCTCGAACGACAGAAGCGACGTCCAGACAGTGTTTAACTCGGAGCGGGCGGCGTCGCTGTTGTATGTCACCGCGGCAGGACGCGCACAGATTTCGCATCGGCAAGAGAAGTTGTACATCTCCTTGAGCTGTGACCGCCGCTCGGCGCGACTGCACGTTGGCGAGATGTACGCGACGGTTACTTCACGCCCGGCTTCGATTGGGCGAAGCGCGACAAGCGACAGCGAGAAGGAAACAGGGTCCCATTGCCATTTCGCATTTGGGCCGCAGCTACGTGTAGTGTATGTCAGTTTCGAAGCTCGATTCGGAAGAAGCGGATACACGTGCAGACGACGTACCTATGGTTGCAACGACTGATATTCGGGAAAATTCCGCGGTGCGTAGGGAGCTCGGGGTGGGGACTGCTGGGAACGTTGAGGGTAATCGCAATGGCGTTGGTGCGGATAATCCCCTCCACTATGTCGCATTCTGAAGCTGGCTTGCAGTTCGCTAATTCCATAAAACGTTCCACCGTCTCGGCAGATAGCCGATGCAGAAGTGCGGTATAGAAATCGGATTCTGGATGTGTCTGGAGCGCGATCATGTACGGCGCGACGAGAATGGGACGCTCGACAGCAATAAGACCTCCCACGGGGATGTTTCGCGCTGCGAACATGCCCAGCCCGTGCTTGCCCTCGCCCTCGCGAACGACAAAGGTCAAGCCTTTCGGAGGTGGAACAGGAGGAGCAGGAATTAGATCGGGAAGAAGGTCTTTGACACCGACGTCGAGTAGGGCGGCAGTCTCGTCGGAGCCGCCGGCATAGGCGACATTGTGCAAGCAGTACGCACGGTTGCCGATATGGCCAGCAAGATCGAAGTATGGCGAGTCCAGGGTTCTGTTAGCTCGTATGTTTGCATTGATTTGAGAACAGAACGATAGCGGTGGCGGGCGGCAGTGGTCGCGGCGCAGATACGAGGTGGAGGCAGAGACTTGCTTGGGTTCCGCAGAGGAGGAGGCAGTGGCAGAAGGCATGGTAGTGTCTGAACGAGTGTGAGATGTGGTAGTGAGTGTTTTAAAGGAAACACAGTGTTCGCAGCAGGGGCCTTGCCACCCTCATCGAAGCGCTCAAAGAATGATTGTCCACGCATCGAGATTTCAACATGAGGCGACATCGCTTCGTCTGCCGATGCCGGCAATTAAAGAGGGCATGATCTACGCCCTTCGTTTACGGACCGTGCTTCCTATGTTGCAGCACCAATAAAAGCACACCCAAAAACGCGTGGTGGCACCGTGTATGGGAAGAATCGCTGAATTCGGTAACCTCGCGGCGGGAGTAGGTAAGCGGAAGCAGATATTAGGATGTATATCAATAAACTTTTCCGCGCCCTAAATGATATACCCACGCGAAGACACCCCAAAGGACGCAGACCGCGTTGAGGAGGACGAGCCCATTCTAGCTAGTCATGAGCTGTGTTCAGCCCCTCTCCCTCATTGCTTGATCGCCGGCGACCGTCGATGATAGCCGTGAAACTCAGATGGCCGCGGTATTCGCGCAACACGGGCGAATATAGAACAGTATACCCGCGAGGCTCGACCATGGATCCAGATGCATTCCCGAGGAAACATCACAGTTTATTTCAGACGCGGGTGATTGTGAGGACGCTTGAGACTAAAAGGAGATGAGTCGGTTCCAAATTCAATCACTTGTGTGTACGAACCGCTCCCGCTGGGGCCCCCAACCGCCCTTTCCAAGGCTCGCCAGATAGCTGCCTCTGCGTCTGAATGAGCCTCGCGAATTTGAAACGGCTCATCCTGGTGGCGGAAAAATAACACCCGCGGCTCAGATCGAAAGCGGTCCAACATCGATATGATACTCGGCGACGCGACCGGCTGGTCGACGCGGAGACCACAGACGTGCACGCGCACGCAGGCCAGAAGAATGGCCTCGACCGCTTCCGATATAAGTACGAGTTCTTCCTCCGCCAACGTCCGCGAGCCGAACGTGAAATCGAGAGAGAGATGGGTCAGCGCCGGCAGCGAGAATGCCGGCCATGCGGTCCATTCCTCCCAGATATTCACGACAGTGAGGTGGGTGATGTTGCTGAAGAAGGGCGCTCCGAAGTACGGGTCCGGTGATCGCAAGACCCCGTGCCAAGCCGCGAGTTTTTTTGGCCGCAAAGTGAAGAGGAAATGCGATAGCGGGGGAGTAGGACCAGAGCGCGGCGCAGGTAGGAACCACGTCGTGAGGTTTTCAATACCGTCGCAGATTGAAGTTACCCTCACGAGCTGGTCCACGGGTATGTCGAATAGGACGGACATCGATTTGACGTGCGTCGAAAAGAATGCGCGCGGTTTCGTGGCTGACGTCTCGATCGTTCTGAGAAATTTATTGCTGGTGCGCTGTCGATACAGATACACGGTTTCGTAGAGGACGATGCTAATCCTATAGACGCATTAGAAGGGTACGAAAACGGAAGCCTCCCTCTTGATTACCAGCTTTCGACCAGACGTGACACAAGGACAAGCTTCAGCGCAGTCCTCCGGTCCGCTCTTGCAGCGGTCTCAAAAATCATCCGTAGGATGTCGAGGACGAGAACTACATTCTGAGCGGGCATTCATGAAGAGGACACAAGTGTAGATGTCTCGGTATGTTTTGTCAAAATCTGATTTTGATATCCGCGGAGATACCTGGAGACCAAATGTACGCCATCCCGCCCAGTGATCCGCCAGACACCGAGATTGGGAGGTAAATATGGATGCGCCAGTTGTGCGATGTCGACGCAGGACTAGGTAAGCTGATAAGATTATAGTCGGGAATACCCGCAGAATGTGCTCTTTTTTCGAGTGTTTGAGCGCGATCTGGATGCGGTCATATCGGCACGATCGGTAATTGAAAATAACCTACAGCGGCGCCGAACATACCGAGATCGTGTAGCCCGTGCCTGTGACTTACAGGAGGCCACAACTTGTCACCGTAGTACCCGGCAGGTCCCTAAAATTTGAGCGCAATGAGACCTGTTCAAGTGGATTACGGGAATCCCGACATGACTCACATGAGAGAGCGAACGCAAAGTTACACCAGCGCCACGGCCTGATCTTCTTCCGCGTAAGTCGTGGTCCCGAGTGCCCGGAGTTTCAGGAATGTGCTGTTATAATTAGAGTGCCTAAAAGCCACCTCGCAAAGAAATAGCACATACACTGCATCCGCATACCTGGAAGACATTCGGTGCAACTTATCTGAGTGTAAAAGAAGTCACTTACGCGCATTTTGACCGCAAACCTCGTTGACCGCAAATCTCGTAGACCCACAAACGGAAAAGAAAGCCCAGCGCTATGTGTTACCGTCAGCTTGACATCTCAAATTCTTGTTCAGTTTGAGAAGATCAACGAATGGTGATGACGTCCAAGACGTCGTGCACTGAAGTGACACATGACAACTTCCGCGGTCTTTGAGAAAAAAGCGCGGACAACCCTCACCTGTGGCTCCCAGCATTGAACCACCAGAGGGAGTGACCCGAGGATGTTGGAAAGATCCCTTGTGCCAGTGCGTTCCTCAGGTATGATGTCACAGTCTTCCCCGGCGAGTCCTACAATTAGAGCGATATGAGGGTACGAAGAAGAAGAAAACATACCAGCACGGGGAGAGTGCACTGATGTCAGAAGAAGAGATAAGAGCGAGCTCAGGAGCCGCGCGCGAGAAGAGAACGGCAGACTCCCCGCCGGCCAGTGCCCAGTGGGTCGACGCTTCTCCAAAGTGGCCAGCCTGTAGTTAGTTTCCTGGGACAAGTGTCCTGAATTGTCTTGTTGCAGGCGCACTTGTTTTAACAGGAAGCCGAGCGGGACATGGCGCGCATGATGGATGCGAAGCAGAAAACTATCTCGTCACATGACCACGTCAACTCTCCATCAGATGTACAGCCACGCAGCGACCTTCTCACTACCACCAGTATCGCTGGAAGGCGTGCATGAATTTTCGATTAGCGATTAGCGGAAGAAAGCCCTCGTTTTGACGACACCCCTCCCAGTGCCGCTCATCTCTGCTGGAGGCGGGTGGTGGAGCCAGACGGGCGCGGGCATGTTCCGTCACGGTTGTGCACCGCCGGGAACATACAGCTTCACGCCGCTGCTCGGGATCAAGCACATCAAGGGGAGGAGCGTCATTCCGTTTCGCAGGGACGAGGAGGCAGGGGATCTGTGGGAAGACGCCGAAAAACCATGGTGGCCCCTGGACGAGGACGAGGACGGGGAGGAGGACTTTGAAGATACGGTGCGCGCTTTCCCAGCTCATTCTGTGGAGTGGAGGGAAGGAGGAACTCACGTTCCAGCAGATTTCTGAGTGAGTCCCGTGGAATTGCAAGGAATA